CACTAGCGCGTTCTCCCCCCTAACAGTTTTTCAAATATACTTCTCCGGGCGCCGCCGCTACTTCCACATCTGGGACCTGGACACGGGCAAGGTTGAGAAAGTCAATGGGCCTGCCGACCGCAGGGAAGAGCATAAGTCTATGGAACGCTTCAAACTATCTCCCTGCGGCCGGTGGATGGGTGTCATCGGCATCGCGCGCAAGGGGGGCGGCATTGTAACGATCCTCAGCACCACCACTCTCCAGTGGGTTGCACAGGTGCGCGTTGACAGCCACAATGGAGTTGCTGATTTCGCCTGGTGGAGTGACGGGGAGGGAATGTGTGTTGTTGGCAAGAATGGGGAGGTTAGCGAGTGGGATGGGCGGCAGAAACGTATTGTTGCGCGCTGGGTTGATGAGGGTGCTGTGGGCGCGACAGTGATTAGTCTTGGTGGGAAATCTGGAAAAGGGCAGATCGGCGGGGATAGGTGGGTGGCGGTGGGGAGTTCGAGTGGGATCGTGAATGTGTATGACCGGAGGCCGTGGGCTGTGGCTGCTGCCGAGATCGAAAGGAAGAGCAAGGGGAAGAAGGTCGATGGAGAAATGGATTTTGGTAATCATCGCGGCGGCGGTGGTGATGGTGATGAACAGTGCGGAATCCCACGCAATCCAAAACCGACACGCATGCTTGGTCAGCTGACGACGCCGACGAGTCATCTTGTCTTCTCGGCAAATGGGCAGTTGCTCGTCATGGCCAGTCGGTGGAAGAAGGACGCGTTGAGATTGAGTATGGAATGAACCCCTAAACGATGCCTGCACATTCTATTTCGTTAATCCCAGTTGGCTAATTATGATTTGCACACAGTTCACCTCCCTTCATGCACAGTATACAAGAATTGGCCTACGTCCAACACTCCGTTTGGACGCATTTCGGCCGTTGCCATTGCGCCGACGTCGGATACGTTGGCTGTCGCGAATGAGCAAGGGAAAATACGGTTGTGGGAAATTCATGGCTAGTGCTGTGGTTGGCTCCTTTTTTTCTGTGCCCTACGTGTATACGGGTCATTTGCAACAGGTATGGCCCTGGAAGGAAAATCATGGCTTCCAAGGCTGGTTGCGAAACATTTGAGATCCTCCATGGCTACAAGGTTGGGGTTAACCCAACTCAATCACGAAACAATCTGCGATTCGATTATATAATACGATCTTGGCCAAAAAGGTCGCTTAATTTATTTGATTTCCAGCTTCACCTTGGATTGGGACGAGGAATAACAATCGAAGACTACGATTGTATTCACTGATACTGGTACATAATAATATCCATTATCCAATATGGCGCACCTGGGAGGAGTTCGACGCCACGTTCTATTTCAAGCGCGATTCCAGCTACGACTCAAAAAAAGTTGACCTAATCATCGCCAACAGACGAGCTCTCGAGAACATCCTCTTTGTTGACAGGCTCCTCAAAGCTCTTAATATTGATGCCGGTAGCTAACAGCTTCCTGAGAATTGCGCTGTTACATATTCTAATATTTTATGGCGCAGCTTCGCGAGTGTACCCCCCAAGAACCAACCAAGCCCTCCGCGCGCTCTACTCGCAAATC